GTGCCAGAAGTCAAGCCTGCATGTTTTGATTCCAAGCCTCTTGCTGTAACCACTAGATCCCACTCCCTCCCAGACAAGAGTAAATCCAAGGAGAGTGTCTCCATATTTGATCACAGTGTCCCTGTCCTGAACTGTATTTCTTTGAGGGATCCCTCAACAATTTTGCAATATTCTAAGAGGAGCTGGTAGCACTGCCTAGCATCTCTAGGGTGCCTACCACTTTCCATTCTAAGGCCCTGTTTTCATTGCTTAGAACTGCCCAACTCTAACCATTTGCGCTGACATTTACCAGGTGTCTGGCTCAGCATGAATATTTTTGGAAACTGTCAGCTAAAAAGGGTTTCAGCCGTGTCTGAGAATGAGATTAGGGACACAAATACATGGCTTTGCCAATTTTAAAAAAATAAATGAATCAGGCACTCAAAAGTTAGGAAATGCCAGAGTGAAGATTAACTTGTGCAACCTTCCTTCATTTCCCTTGTGCACAGGCATTCTGAGACAGTCCGGAATGACTTCCTCACACACTATTTTTCCTCTGCCTCATGCAGTGCCCAGGATGGGTGCTCCTCTGGGGATGACCCAGGGTGTGTAGTGAAGGAGACTGTTGGACCTAGGAGCCCTTTCTCATTTGTTGCAGAAATTGGACGGCATGTAGAGACTCAGACAGGGCATTGACGGGAGAGAAAGGACGGTCTCACGCATAAGGCAGCTGCCCGCTGCCCTGGAGAACCGGATTCCAGCCCTTTCTCTGCCACAAAGGCTCTGTGTGATGCTGAGCCAATCAGTGCCACGAAACTTTTCACAGGTGGTGACTAATTGTGTGTTGCCTGCCCCAAGCTCCTGCCCCCGCTCAGCCGAAGTCGCCGGGAGCTGTGCTTTGGCCATCTGACGTGCTAAATACGCTGAGAAGCCAGGCCCTAGGTGTCTCAGCTTGGGCACCCAAATTAGTAGAAACTTCTGACCATCATCTCTCATTGTGCCTCAGCTCAGGTACCAGCTCCCTCCCCTCCCAGGAGCGTTGGGAAGGGAAACGCACTAATGTTGGGGAAGCACTGGGCTGTTGCCATGAGAGCCTTAGAAAAGCCCCTGAGGAAATGTAAGAATTCTGCCTTCAGAGCAGGGTCGGATGAGTGTGCAGGAAATAAGGCCTGTGGCCTGTTGTGAAGCCCTCCACACCCCTCCCCCCCCCCCACACACACACACCCTGCTCTATGCCAGCAAAAGTCCAACTCAGCCTGTTACACAAAATTGCATATAAAAGGCAGCAGAAGTTAAGACGAATAGTGGTTTAGTCCAAACAAAAAGCTCCCCTGATCCCACTTGCAGACGGTGTTGAAGCCATGCCTGGTAAGAATGGAACCAGAAATTAATGGGCGAAAGCTGGTGCCTAATTGGTGGACAAAATAATGAGGGAAAGGGACATGTTGCCCATCACCCCCTTTTGGGGTGCTTTAAAAAAACAAACAACTGTGGGGAAAGGCAGGGCCGCTGAGAAAAAATTCAGGCCCCGGTGAAAAAAAATTTTCGGGCCCCCCAGCACGGGCGGACCGGCTACAAATCTTTACACGGGATTTGTATTGATGTGCAAAAAATAAATATGCCGTGCCTGGTATACAAATGAAATGTATTATAGTACTGCAATATAAAATAAATGCGTGATCTCATTTTTATGTTAATAATAAATATGATACTATTCGTACCTGTTGAGAATATTAAGATCCTAATGACTAATATCAATAATATAAGCACCCACACGATCATTGCTGAACTAACCATACACTTTAAACATTAAAGTTGTATGTGTAAAACACAATGTGTATCACACAACAACTTTGTATTCGTACAGTGTACACTTACGAAAACATACAAATGCGACTGTGCATAATAAGGTGAGACTGCACTGTCATACTGTCAAAGCGCAGAAGCGAATGTTCGTATAGAGTCAGAAATGCTCGGTTCACGGCACACGTTCGCAAGCCGTTATTCAGAATTGTGAGTGCATTGAACATAAAATATATATTTTGTTAAGAATTACATTAAAATATAATTATATTCTGTTCTTAATATGTAATTAGTAGTTCTTTGGTTGATTAGAGTCTATATTGGCCGATAACTGACAGAATTTTGTATATCATTATTTTCTTTGAAGTTCACCGATTTTACAATGGATCTCAAAAACAATTGACAAATAATACTACCGAGAAAAAGAAAAACATATGCAACATAGTCGGGCCCCAGGCCCCCTTCTGGACCGCCGAGCCCCAGTAATTTGTACTGGCTACCCCCCTCCCCCTCGTCGGCCCTGGGGAAAGGATCAAATGGCTGAGAGACGGGTGGACTGAAAGGAGCAAGTTTCACCATCACAGCTACCACTTGCATGGTCCCCTGGGACCCCAGGATCCACCGTGACACCACTTGGCCTTTGCTATCCTGACCAGACCCGGCCAGAGAGAGGGACCGACGACATCACCACCTCCTCTGGCTCTGTGATGAGTCATCCCGGAGCCAGAGCTGGTGAATCATCTGTTACCAGCAAGTCCTATGATAGACCCATGCCAATCAACCAGGTCCCAGCCAATCCACAAGCGAGGGCCTAACCAGGTGACCACGAAGCAGGTATATAGGCTCCTAATCCATATTGGTACCTTCCCAGCTGCCAGCCAGTTCTGCCAGACTGCCCCAGCCTGTGTCCGCCTCAGCCAGCCCCAGGGCTGTCCTGACAAATGCCACCTGAAAATTAAGACTTGGGTTCCTGTTAGCAGCCTGTCCCTTTCCTTTCCCACCTTATTGCCTCTCTTTCCTAGCGCTCTCCTGGTTGCCTGCTGTTTAGTAAGTCCGACTTGGATGGGCTGAGGCTGTCTCTTTTGCAGACTGCTGTGAGCCTGTGACCTGAGAGGCAGCTGAAAGCAATGCTCTAAACAGCCTGCCACTGGTACCAGCGTGCTGGGTGTTGGGGTGGCAGAAAAGACAGTGCTGGGTCGGTGTTTCTCCAGCAGTGAGTTTGCAAGTGAGAGTTGGCACCAGAGAAGCTGCGTTTTCTATCTTTGCTGTTCTTTTCTGCCCTGTCCCTTCGCTGTGTGTGTTTGTTTTGTTTTTCCTTAAAGGAGGCAGGATCAAACTTTACCACCAGCAGCGCCGGCCAATCTCCACTAACTTCTTTTTTTCCCCCAAAAGGAGCGTAAATTACCATCTTTAATCCAGTCTGCAAAACTGTCAGCCGGGGGGAGGGAGTTTCCTGATGAAAACGCTCCACACGCAGCGTTTCTCAAATTGGGGGGCCTGACCCAAAAGGGGGTTGCAAGACTGTTGTAGAGGGGTCGTGAGATGGCAGCAGCTCGCCGCACACCCAGCTCTGAAGGCAGCGTCGCTGCCAGCAGCAGTGCAGAAATAAGGGTGGCGTGGTATGGTGGGGGGTGCATCACTTTTTGGGGCGGAGGGTTGTCCCAGCCTGAAATATTTTCAAAGGGGTCACAGCAAGAAAAACGTTGAGAACCTTCTGGCTACTCTTACAATGAAAACCTTACTGAATACTTTACATTTCCAAGGCTTTAACTGTTTTTCCTTTTTCGGTATCTTTCATAGAAGGTGCTTTTAGTGGTGTCTGTTGCCATGCGTCCGTGTACTCAAACTCAAACTGTGTTTAACGGTCTAGTGTTGTGCAGTGACAGGGTCTGGTTGACACCTTTGCCTCTCTGGGCCTTTTTCTTCCATTGAAAGTATCACATGCTGAATGAGGGTAAAATGAGTAGCTGCTTGTTTGCTGAGCACCCTCCGTCCTGTGCAGGGGACATGTGGAAACATAACGGGAACTGAGCATTCAAATCAGGCGGCTTTGAAAATCTCAGCCTTATTTTCCTGTTGTGCTAAACTAACCAACACTGACTCCCGCGGGGGGGCACTACTCGTTGCCTGGGGGTATCTCCTGCTTGCGGCTCCTTTGCATGACACCTCCCGTAAAAGTTTCAGAGATGTAGCCGTGTTAGTCTGTATCAGCAAAAACAACGAGGAGTCCTTGTGGCACCTTAGAGCCTAACCCATTTCTTTGGGCATAAGCTTTCGTGGGCTAAAACCCACTTCATCATGAAGTCTCTAAGGTGCCACAAGGACTCCTCGTTGTTCTTACCTCCTTCCCTGGGTGCATTCAGGGCTTGGGCAGGCCGTACCCGCTGCAGGGAGCCTCGCATCAGAGCGAAACCAGACTCAACGGCTTCCTGCCAGAGATATGAAGAATACAAGACAGGAGTGAGAAACCACAGCCATCCCCCTATGACTTGTCCCAGCACTGAACAGGCTGTGATTGTTCTTGAGAAAGCGTTGTGCCTTGCCAGCGCCCACCGCACCAGCTCAGCCGGCGCCCCCCAAGCAGTGCACCCGGGACTGACTAAGCAGAAAAGACAGGAAATCTCTTTGGGACTGGCGCTTCTGCTCTCGCCACCGCCAGAATGGCAGGGGCTCCGGCGCTGGGAGGAAACGAACCACACAGCAGGGACAGACAAATTGGAGCCCCTCCCTCCTCTATCGATCCAGTTTCTTACATGGGCGCCTGTCACCGGGGGGCATCCGAGCGCCTCCCAGAGAGGAGAGTGCAAGGAAGAGACCGGCCTTCCTGCTGCAGCTCGAGGTCTGGCTGGCATCTGAAGCGGTTTTGAACCCCAGGGAGAGTTCATGGATCTCACTATCCTCCCCATCTGCCCCACCCTAGCACTGAAATACAGTAATGCAGAGCAGGGGTCACATTTACCCTTCCCCTCCCCCCCGACCTCGCTCCTCTGCCCCATTTATTCCTAAGGGGAGCAACTAGCCATTTCTTTGGCATTCCCTAGACAGGGGCTGGCAAATCCTAACTTCCCAGCCTGGCAAAGGCTCACTGTCCTGTCCTAGCCAGTGCAGAACCCGCCCCCCTGCTGAGCTGCAGACTCAACGCTCCTCCCGTAGCACCGGTTAGTCCTCACAATGCCCCTGTGAGGTAGGTAAGTGTACGAGCCTTTTATAGACGGGGAAGCTGAGTACCAGCAGCACGCCCAGGTCTCAGCAAGTCTGTGTCAGAGCTGGGACTCCGAGCTCTGGCTCCCAGACCCAGGTGCTGCTCAGTGCCCTCAGTCACCCCACCAGCCACTTGACTCAAAATGAGCCAGCCCACGCAGACGTCCTTTTCCGCTAACGCAGACAGCCTGGCTTCTCTGTACAAGTCACACATCTCTGTAAAGCTGCAGCTTGGCCCAGCCCCATCTTCTCAAACACTGAACCAGCTCTCCAGGTCAGGGTAGATTTGCCCCTGGGCCAGGCGGGGGTATCTGGCGCAGATGGTGCAGAACCGTTCTTGCCAGTCTGTGTAGAGCTTCACCCCATACCTCTTCCTCCACTCGAAGAATGCCCTGTAGCGGCTGGAGTTCATGGTCTTCAAGAAGCTGGCCAGCTCCTTCATGGAGCCGAAGTCCTCAATGTGGATGAATGAATCTGCAGGGATGAACTTCTCGTAGTTGGCTCGGGGGGGCCCCAGCACCACCGGCACGGTGCCAGCCAGCAGCGCGTTCCTCCACAGCTTCTCGGTGATGTAGTCCTGGTGGATGGAGTTCTCGAAGGCCAGGTAGAACTTGTACTTGGAGGTGGTCGGCAAGAGGCAGTCTGGGCACAGTGGCTTCTTGTTTGATTTCCCATACACGTTCACTTGGAGGTGCCTGGACAGCTCTCTGTAGACCTGCGCTCTCTTCTGAGTCCGGTGGTAGTTACTGATGACCCAGGACACCAAGCCGGTTTTGGTTGGAATGTCCACACTGGCTGATGGATGGCGCACAAGCTCCCCATATGGCATGAAGATGTCTGAGTCTTGTCTGTATGTCATGACCCAGTTGAAGGTTCGGTTCCAGCCACTCAGTGCCTTAGTGTTGGTGGGGGACTCCAGGGTAACCCATACCCAGTTTTGTCCAGGCCTCTTTTCTGTTGGGAGTCTTACCTTGCCCTGCCACAGCTCCCAGTGATGGAACACCACAACATCTGCCTGGCTAAAGAGCCTGTGGTCCCCCGTCAGCTGGCAGCCCATGATCTTGTAGCGGTCTGCGCAAACATCAGTGCTGAGGTTCGGGGTGTGGCGGAAGGGCCAGTGCCAGATCAGGACTGTCAGGGGTTCGCTGTGTCTCAGGGCTGGGCCAGGGACCTCAGAGTGGTAGCCAAGGAAATTCAGGTTCCAGAGAATGACTGCAAATATTATTGCACTGGCCAAGGCCTTCAGCATAGGCAAGGAGCAAGTTTGCATCTTCAGCGGCAGCTTACGTTGAACCTGCAGGGCCGAGCTGCTGGGTGGGTTGGGTTCTTGGCAGAATTTCTGCTTCATGAACAGAGTTGAGTCCAGCCCCTGGAATGGAGAAGAAGGGTGGTAAAAATCAGCCTCCAGCATATAACAATGCACTTTCTGCAGCCTCCTCTTTTCAGGGCGCAGGTGTGTGAGCATCTTGGTGGGTTGGGAGGAAATTGAAGAGGACGCAGGGAACTAGCAGGTGGAGAGAAAGGAGAAGATCTGATCTCACTAGCATAGCTAAGGTCCATGCTCTTTACAGAACGTGGTCACTGAGCTGTGTGACTGGGTTTACCGGACTCTTGCTGCCCCTTGGATGTCCCAGCCCATGCCTTGTCTGAGGTTTTGGGGATTACATTTCAGCAGAGGGCTGCAGGGTTGGATGAGGGAAGCACTTCCTAGCTGGAGCGGAATCTGGTGCAGCTGAGACGAGCCAGTCTCGGACCCTTAGCAAGAGACTGGGCCATGCCCGGGGCGCGGGAGGGGTTGCTATTTAGCAGCCGGGACAAGACGCTTGAGCCGTAGGAGAGCTGCAGTGTGTATATCGCTGGCTCTATTTTCATTCTGCGTAAGGGTTTGAACAGCATGAAGGGGATGTGGTCACATGCTGGAAGGTTTGTACTTATTTATGGTGGTTATAAGCGTGATACCCCTGAGAGGTGTGTTTTTGCAGAAGCGGGGCCTCTGCAGTTTATTTCCAGCTGCAACGCTCAGAGCCCTGCCCCAGCAGCCCTGGCTTGAGAGCCCCTAGCAGCTGGCTGCTCGCAAACACACCAGCTGGTCCGATTCCAGAGTCTCCAGAGATCGACCTGCCTAGGGGGACCAGAGTTCCCTGTGCTGAATACGGGACACCCGGTAAAATTACTCTTATTCAAGCGAGTTCAACGGCAATCGGTCAGAACTGTGCAGTACAAACGTTCAAATTAACGTCAAGTTGCCTGAGCCCCCAGTAAAAAGAAATACTGGGTAGTTGGATTCTTTATATTTACCTTCTTATCTTTAAGGCTTTAGGGTTCACAGGGAGAGAGGTGACACACACCCCTACCCCGCGCCCGCACAGGGAGAGGTGACACACATACACTCCTGTATACCTCTCTCACACGGGGGGTGACCGACCAACCCTCCCCTCTCTGCTTGGCGCTCTCCACCCTCCGTGCCTGGCTGGGCCCCCAGGACAGACTCACCGCTTCTGGTACCTGGCGCCGCATCTTCCCAAGGCAACATGCGTGTGTGTGGGTTGGGGATGGGGATGGGGATGCAGGGTCACACGCCCCCCCCCCCAGATTTCTGCCAGGGTTCCCACCAGAACGTGGCCAGCAGCAGCCTTTCGGCACTGTGCGGGAGGGAAGGGCCGGGAGCTGCTTCCAGCCGTGGGGGGTGGGGAGGGGTAGGAATGCCCTGGCCTGTGTCTTTGCAGCGTTCAGCACCATGGCTGGAAGTGGAAGCAGCTTGTCCCTTCCTGCCCACACAGTGTTGAAAGGCAGCTAACACCTCCAGGCTGCTGCTGGCCTCAGACATTACCGGACGCTTCCTGTCCCCCAGCTACAGTGCAGGCAGGAAGGGGTTAAGCCCGAAGGATACACCAGGGCCCAGGGAACCTGACTGCAGGGCCCTCAGCGAACCCGGCCAGAGAGGTGGCTCAGCAGGGGAGGGTGCCTAGGGGACGGAGCAGCCTCACAATCCCTGGGGGGCAGGACCCAGGGCGGGGGTGGGGGGGTGAGAGACAGGTGAAGAAGGTGCTAAGCCCCTGCCCGGGGGGGTGGGTGGGGTGCTGCTGTGGAGCCTACAGGTTCGGGGTATGAACAGGCTGGAAATCGCTGCCCCCCACCACTCAGGAGCGTAGCTGAGGGGCAGAGAGGCTCCTCGTGCCAGCGCTGTGCGGGGCTTTGACACATGCAGGGCTCGGCTCCTCCTGGACAGCGCCTGAGGCCGGAGACTATTGGGCTTTCCCAGGGTGCCGGCCCAGCCAGAGGCAGCGGGGGAAGGAAGGAACCTGCCAGCCAGGCTGCTGGTGAGCTGAGCTCTCTGACCAGGGGCCGGTTCTCCCCACAGCCCGGGGAGCGGGACACGTCCCAGCTGGAGGGATATGGAGGAGCAGCAGGGCTGGGGGTTGTGGCGAAGGGGCAAAGCAGGGAGATGACAGCGAGAGAGTGAGCACGTAAAGCACCAATGGGTGGGCAGCAGAGGTGACATGTAACCTGCCTCTGCCTGGCACCTGCCCGTACGCACCAGCCACCGCCATCCGGACGGGGGACGGGGCCCTGGTGGCCGAGAGCCAGCACGCAGCGGGGGCTGCGCTGACAGATCAGCACAGGGGACTGGCCGGCCCCACACACTGCATCTTTATCCCGTCTCCAGCCTCGCACACCCACCCCATCATCAGCCACTGGCCCCCCCCAACTCACTGCTGGTGGGCAGGCAGCTGGCGAGCAGGGATCTGGCCAGACAGAAAATACGGGACAATTTGCCGGTCTTTAAGAAAAAGTCGGGCCATTTGCAGGAGGGCTTAGATATGGGACTGTCCCTTTAAAAACGGGACGTCTGGTCACCCACCTGCCAGAAAACACAATGGCCAAGGCGAGACACAGTCAGGTGGGAAATGAGGTATACATTTTTAACAGTGAGGGTAATTAACCATTGGAACAATGTATTCAGGGTTGGGGGGGATTCTCCATCTCTAATCAAGACTAGATTTTGTTTTTTTAAGGCTCTGTGTTCGTTCCAAAGGAGTTGTACTGGGGAGGCTCTCTGGTCGGTGTTCGACAGAAGGTCAGTCTGGATGATCACAGCCAACCCTTCTGCCTGTTGAATCTATGAATCTATCACAAGTGGCCACTGAGCTTGGGAGTTCATCTTGAGCCCTGGCTCACCCAGGCGGAGCTCCAGGGCTGCTTTTCAGTGGGAGCCGAGGGCACTCTGCGCCTCTAAAAATCAAGCCATGGTGTGTCAAGATGAGCATCCAAAATCAGAGAACACTTGTGAAAATGCAAGGGGGGCTCTGAGAGGTCTATAAAGTCATGACCGGTGTGGAAAAAGGGACTAGATAAATGTTATTTACCCCTCCACATAACACGAGAACCAGGGTCACTCAATGAAATGAACAGGCAGCCGGTTTAAAACAAACAAAAGGAAGTATTTCTTCACACCACGCACAGTCACCCTGTTGCCAGGGGATGTTGTGAAGACCAAAAATATAACAGGGTTCAAAAAAGAAGTAGATAAGTTTGTGGAGGATAGGTCCATCAACAGCTACGTGCATCCCTGACCAGCTTGGCTACCCAATGCTCTGGGTGTCCCCACCCTGACTGCCGGAAGCTGGGAATGGGCGACGGGATGGATCACTCGATAATTGTCCTGGTCTGTTCATTCCCTCTGAAGCATCTGGCAGCGGCGACTGTCAGACGACAGGACACTGGGCTAGATGGACGATTGGTCTGACCCAGTCTGGCCGTTCTTATGTGTTTGGAGCTGTGGTTCTGATTATTTAACCTCATCTCTGGTTCATTCACTACACACCAGCCCCAGCACTGACCAGGCTGCATTGGCGAGTAATACTGTCTACCCCATTCACATACAATCCCGTAGGAGCATGCAGATCCCACTGTCTATCTCTAAGCACTTTACAAAGGGTGGAGGGGGAAGTGTTGTTATCCCAGTATTATAGAGGGGGAAACTGAGGCAGAGGAAGAAATTTGTCCACCGTCATGCAGAGAGTCATTAGAAGAGCTGGGAACAGAACCTGGGTCTCCTGCTGCCTTTTGAGGCCATTACCAGAGAATACTCATTCCTGCACTACTTTAAATACAAATAAATACGTTTCAGGCAGCAAGATCAATTCACTGAGGGCTTGTCTGTATGGAGGCTTAATCTGTGGCAAACTGGGGTGTACAGCTACTGTGCACCAGCTTGCCACGCATTGTCCGTGTGGACCCTGCGACAGCGCACTAAAAGGTCCATAGTGCGCTTTGACCTATTGTGGAGTGAAATTGCCTGTACAACCTTAATTCATCCCCTTTGTGTGTGTGCGTTATGAAACAGTCTTTAATTACATACTATTTCTTCCACCAGACCCCAGCTTCCTTCAGTGCGCAGGATGAACCTGCACTGGGGCTGAATTTGTGTTGTGTCGTAGAGAACGTTGTCTGTAGGATCCCTGTGCGTCGCTCGTTGCAGGAGTTGGAAGGTGGGTCCTGGATAAGGCAAGGGACTGCAGGAAGAGAAAGGACAGTCTGACGGCTAAGGCAGTTGAATGCTGCCCCAGAGAGCTGGATTCTATCCAACCCTGTGCTACAGAGCTCCTGTGTGAGGATGGGCAAATCACTTCCATGAAACTCTTCCCAGGTGGTCACTAACTATGTTTGCGCTCAGTTGCGGAGTGCCCAATGTGAGACCCTCAGGGCTGATTTGCAGACTTGGTGAGCACTGACAGTTGCAACTCCCGTCACTGGGAGCTGCACATAAAGTGCTCCAGAGGGCTAAGTACGCTGAAGAATAAGGAGCACGACATCTCAAATGGGGCACCCAAAAGTAGTGACTACGTTTAACCTTTAATCTCGCTGGGTCTTAGCTCCCCATCTATAACCTGGGGCAAATACTGCCCCTCCTCTCGCAGTGAGGTGGTGAAAATAAATTGACAGATGTTTGTAAAGTAGCCAGATACTCCCATGAGGAGCGCCATAGGAGAGTCCAGGAGGAAATTAATAATTGTGTCTTCAGAGCAAGGTTTGAATAGTGTGTAATAACTAAGCTCTGTGCCACATGTTGAACAATGCGGAGAAAACAAAATACAGACTCGTTTATTGAGTGCCATCCATCCTGTGCACTGAAAGAGGCCAGGGGCTTGTGGAAAAAATAGCATTTGATCATGTAATTAAAGACTGTCTCATAACACATATGCACACGGGGACGGGGCAAATGAAGGCTGAACACGCAACCTTAATTCAGGCATTTATTAACTTGAGAGGACTTGACTTTGCAACCTTAGTAACATTCTTTTACTGTTGTTTTTGCATATAGACAAGGGGTAAAACCTAGGGGAAGAGGC